AAACAGCCCCAGTCTTGGGCCTGGCCACGTGGCGCCCAGAGGAGATGTGGGTGTCACATGGGCTGTTTCTGAAGGCAAGTGCAGGGAGCCTTGCAAGGGCTCAGGGAGGCCCTCCTCTGAGGTCCCTGCTTTACTTCCCATTCAGGAAGGCGTGGACCCTAAGAAGCTGGATTCCCTGACCACAGGCTTTGGCTTTCCTGTGGGAGCTGTCACGCTGGTGGATGAAGTTGGTGTGGATGTAGCAAAACACGTAGCAGAAGACCTAGGCAAAACCTTTGGAGAGAGGTTTGGAGGTGGACACCCGGAACTGCTGAAACAGATGGTGTCCAAGGGCTTCCTGGGTGAGTAACCTCCACGGAACACGTAGCACCACCAGTCACAACGTTCCGAGCTCTTTCTTGAGACTAAGAAGTGACAGAAGGTCCATGTGTGTTTCCTGATATAGGGAATTTCAAAAATGATTTCATTACCGCGGCTCCTTAGTCTGGGCCTGTAGCTTATGGACAAAAGGTAGAACTCTGGCTTTCAGAAGCTCTGCCAGTACCTGGCCCAGTAATGCCAGATCCACAGGCATCTTCATCCTGCCCAAGGCCCCTGGCACATCTGTGATCCTGGACTAGGAAGCTTGCGTCCAGTTTTGCCATGTTATCTGGCCACCTGTATGGAAAAACTAAAACCCCTACATACGAGTAAACAGTTGAGGCCCAGGAAAGAGGTGGCTTTCTGTTTTGGCAAAGTAGCAGCAAAATCAGTGGTAGGACCTGGGCATCCTAGGGCCTGGTGTTGCACATCTGGATGTTAAAACTCACCCACCTGGCCTTTCCCATCCAGATACACAGATTTCCAAGAGACATAAGATCTTTTTTCCTTCTCTGTGAGCTCTTCTGAGTTCAACAAACACTAGATTTCTAGGGTTGGCTAGATATACAAACTCAGGAGCACAGGAGAGGCAGGAGCTTTACGGCAGACCAGCAGAGGAGACTTCCCAGGCCCAGGCTCAGAATTTCTGACTTTCTCTTCCTGCTTCCTTTAGGTCGCAAGTCTGGGAAGGGCTTTTACATCTACCAGCAGGGTGCGAAGAGTAAGAATTTGAATTCTGACATGGACAGTATTTTGGCAGGTCTACAGGTCCCTCCAAAGTCTGATGTGTAAGTCAACTTGAATGGCTTATGGCATGGCAACCTTTGCCATGAGCCCAAAGCTTCTCAGCCCCTCTTCCATCTTTGTTATGATCACCGCACCTGCCCAAGAACAGCCCTGATGGTAGCACAGTGCTTTTGCCCTTCTGCACGCCCTTTTGCCCATCTCGTTCTCTGCCAGCATCAGGGAGCACTGCCATGGAGTGCTTCAGCCTTCCTCTACAGGTCCCAGAGAGCAGCCAGGAAGACCATTACCCCAGGCCCCTTCCTGCTCTAAACCCTGTATTATCATTTGTAATTGACCGCTGCGGTATCAAGAGATACTTATCTGTTCTGTTGCAGACCCTGTTCTAGGGTCGGTTCTGGTTGATTAGGGCAAGTAGCTCCATGCAGTCTTTTTCCAAGGGCAGGGCTGGCCCCCAGCAACACCTTCTCTAGAGGTGGAGGTGTGCCCTCATTCATGTGTGGCTCCTGCAACCCTCCCCTCTGCTTTTCCCCTACCTGAATGCCCCTCCCTGTTGGCAGCTCCTCTGACGAAGATATCCAGTACCGCCTGGTGACAAGGTTTGTGAACGAGGCCGCCATGTGCCTGCAGGAAGAGATCTTGGCCACACCTGCAGAGGGAGACATTGGAGCGGTCTTTGGACTCGGCTTCCCCCCCTGTCTTGGAGGTTGGTCTTGGAGGCGGGGGCGGTAGCTCGCTTGTCCCAGAGCTCGTGTTGCTGTCTCCTTCAACAGTCCTGTTTCCACCTCAGGGCCCTTCCGCTTCGTGGATCTGTTTGGTGCTCAGAAGATAGTGGACCGGCTCAGAAAGTACGAGGCTGCCTATGGAAAACAATTCACCCCATGCCAGCTGCTGATCGACCACGCTAACAGCCCTAACAAGAAATTCTATCAGTGAGCAGGCCTCACACCCTGCTCGCTCACACACTAACCCCAGCTGCCCGCAGTGCTGGTTCACCAACAGCATGGCACCTAGATTTATCAGTGACCAGAAGGAAAACAAACCCTGGCATTGGGTGTGTGCCTTGATTAAAGTGCCTTCAGCTAAGACTGTCTCTCCTTCCGGTGAAGTCTGGCTGTGTTTGCACTTCCTGTTGGCAGGTGGAACCCACTATGCTCGGAATCTAGAAACCCCAAGACCCAAAGTGGCAGCGTTCTCCCAGAAGGCCAGTGGTGGCCAGGGGTGGTGAGGGCATCACGCACTTGGCCAAGCTCAGGATAACAATAAAAACCAAACTTATTTATCAGCCTCCTTGCCTGTTTGTTCCTTCTTCTTTGCCTTTGCCCTTCTGGTTTAACCTCTCGAAGGTGTGAGCTGAGACAAAGCCCTGTGCTTTGGGGTAAGAATGTGTCGAGAGTTCTAAGCAGCACCTGAAGAGGGACCAGGATGATGGAAGGTGGGACTTCGTGAGGCTAAAGCCTTGTAAACCTGGCTGTATTTAAATGCTCTGGCTGGGCTTCTGTCTACAGTGGCGAAGTGGCCCAGGCTAACCAGCTGTGGAGGACCAGGACAGAAAACAGACTTCTGTCCCAAAACTATCTCCTCATTGCATCATTTTACCCAGCTTTTTTCTTGGCGTGACACATTCACGCATGCTTGTGGAAAGGTTGGAACTGATCCAAGGAGATCACGTTTTTTCTGGTCAATATATCCTGCATATGTCAGCCTTCCCAGAGCATGGGAAATGCCTGCACAGCGGTCAGAGGTCGCACATGTGAGCAGTGCCAGGGATGCCGGCGGCCCACCACGCCCCCTCTGCTAGGCCTCTCCGCCTGCGCCCTGCCCTCCTTGGTAGTAAGTTCCCACACTGTTCTGACCAGCAGTGCGCGGTCTGCGTGGACAGCCTCGGGCTCTTCACTCCATCTGGCAGAAGGATCCACGCTGAGTGTACGTGGAATCGTAATTCAAGTCCCATCACTGCCTTCTCAGCTTTGAGAGGTTACCAATTGCTCCTGCCTCTGTACCAGTTTGAGTGCACAAGTACTTCAAACACTGCCAGGTCCAGTTCTGTTGTTGGGACTGGCAGGCAAGGACCTTAACTCTGGCGCTACTAAACACTGACAGTGGGTTGCTAGGAAGCCAGGCTCTAAAACCAAATCGTCTCTGAGTTGGGTTTTTCAGATGACCAGTAGAAGGCAGAGAACTGACCCTCGCCACCACGCCACTAGCAGGCTTCTAAATGTGGGTGTCTGAGAGCCCCAAGGCAGGTGGTCCCTGGCCGGTGGCACCGAGTTGGAAGTCCGGTCTTCCCACTGAACAGCACTCAGTAGGTAAGAATCCATCGGAACAGTGGTGGGAATGGAAAGGTTCTTGTAGGGCAGGGGCTGGCGAAGGGTTTTCAGCAGGAATCGGGCAGCACTGCCAGCTGTGTGGGGAACATGAACGGGCTGCACACACATTCCAAAGTCTTCTCCCGCCGGAGCACAGCCATTGTTCCTCCACAAGAAGAAAGCAGCCGACAGCCAGCTCCACTCGCTCTGTTCCTCAGCAGTCTAGCATTTATTTCACTAGTCCTTGGGGATTCATCAAGTGATCGGCAAGGAAACCAAATGTCTCAGCATCGGTTTCTGTGCTCTATTTCCTGACTCCCCTCAAAGCTGAGGCAGCCTGCTTGGGGCACAAGCACCAACATGGCTTTGCTACTCTTAAGACAGAGGAAATAAATATCTAGTTTGACTAGGTAAGGCAGAAGAGAAGGCTGCTACCTCTGAGGCTGGCACTAGTGAGCATGAGAATTAGTGTGGTCCTGAGTAGGTGAGATGGGGAAGAGCATGGGGGGATGGGTAGCTGTACATAAGAACCAGCCTGCCCTGGGTGCCAGTGACCACCATGCTCGAGATCTAGGGCACAAAGACCTGCCCTGAAGCATGTGGACAAGTGCAGGAAGACTGAGCTCCAGGAGGGAAAAGGCAGGTTTTCCCAAGCCACTGTGCTCTCTCTCACTCCCATCCCACCTGTGCACCAGTGACAGAAAACCAGGGAAGGACACCAGGTGTTTGCCAGAGTCAGTGAGGGGGGCAGGAGACCGGTGCAAGTGGGAGCGATTGAAAGCCACTTGCCTCTAGAATCAAGGAGCTGCCAACTCAATCGACCCGCTCTTCCATGGAGTCAGTCTTCACAGACGGGACCCAACCCGGCAGGGTAGAGGGCTAGTTGCACTGAGCTCAGGGGAGAACCCAGGGCATCGGGAGCATCTGCCTCCCTAACCAGAGAGGTACATCAACACAGAGCTGTGCTCTTCCAAAGTCATCGCCAGATGAACCAGAACCCAGAGGTGGAGCCTCTGAGGTGCAGTGGCACCGGCTTGTACTTGATACACTTATGCTCAGGGCCAGGGCCTACTCATGATGGAGCAGAGGGGGAAGGGAAGGGCTCACAGAGGTCCCGAAACTGGCATCCTGACCCTGGGGCAACTTAGGCCAAAAGCCGCCAGGAGTACAGAGGAGAGAGGGCAGTAGGGGGGATTTGTGCTTAAGTTGTGGACCATCTTCCCTTGTCTCTAAACCTGAGAAGTACGAGTTGTCTGTGAAGCTCTGTAGCGGGGTGTCTGATGGCGTTGGGTCACCATGAAGGCCAGCTTTTGATCCCATCGTGGGGATCCCAGCAAATGCCCCCCAGGTCCAGGGGCACACTGGGGCCTCTGCTCCTTTCCCCACATACTCTGCACACTCAAAGGCAAGCCATCCCCATGCAGGGGTCTGTCCCAGAGGACCCATTTCCAAGTGTGTCTCCCCTGGATTCAGAGTGGCTATCTAGCATCCTCAGAGGCAAGTGCCGCTGGGAGTGTGGCCACTGCAGACCATGGCTGGCCTGAGGGCCGGGGTCAGCATTCCAGCGGTGCAAGTTCAAGCGGGAGGTCAGATCTTGGGCCGCCAGCCTTTGATGAACTGCATGATCTTCTTGACCTGAAGCTTGGTGAGGTGGAAGTCGTCTGCCAGGATGTCCTCACTGAGCTGTACAAAGATGCTGCCATCGATACGTTCTCGGGCAAAGAAGCTCACCACGTCCTCTGAGAGCCCGATGAAACGCAGGCTGTGAGAGACCTCCTCCAGGGAGAGTGCGGACAGGTCAGCAGGGGGCTGCCAGGCGGCATCCCGGCCTCCCCAGCCCGTGGCACCATCCCGGGGACTGGCAGGAGGCGCTTCTAGGCGCCCTTGGGTGAGAAGGAGTCTTGCTCCACCTGCCTTGGGCCCCTTCAGGGCCGCTGGTGACAGCGGGGTGGGGACCTGCCGCAGCACTAAACCTTCAGACTCAAAGGCCTTGGGGGGTCCAAGTGGTGAAAGGCAGGGTCCAGGCCCAGGCACCCCCACGGCTCGGGGCTCCTGACAGCGCAGCAGCTCAGGCTCTGGAGAACCACCCTGCCCCAGCTCAAAGGGATCATAGGGCTCCAGGGCTGACTCCTGCCACTCAGAGGAAGAGGAAGAGGAGGTGGGGCAGGAGGAGGTGGGAGCAGCTGAATAGGCCTGGCCTGGCGAGCCTGGGCCTGGGGAATACGCAGGGCTGGAGGTAGCCAGGGCCCCCAAGGCTGTTGTGGGCCCAGAAGAGGAGGCTGCTGAAGGGCCTGAGGGGCAGGCAGGCCCGGAAAAGGGGTTGAGAGCTCCAAATGGAGCAAAACGTTTCTGAGGGTGAGAGGGCTTGAGAAGCGGGCAGCTGTGGTAGGTCTTGACAGGGGTGTCGGCCCCCAACAGGGAGGCAGCTCGACTGCGCAGGGGCTCTGCGAGGGCCCGCGAGGCCTGGCTGGGCTGCGTGGTGGAGGGCAGGGGTCCCGGCGGTGGGCGGCTAGAGGACTCGCCCACTTTGCAGTCTCCCCAGGTACATGGGTAGCAATAGAGGGAGTAGGCATCTGGTGATGGGGAGCCACTGCCACTGCGGGAACCTGTCCTGTGGGCAGAGACAGACACATAAGGAAGGGTAAGGCAGAGCAAGAGAGTAACGCAACAGGGTCACACACATGACACTGCCAACCACCACTCTGCCGGGTCTCAGAGGCTGCCACTCCGATCTCAGCAACACTGGCCCGCGCCCCAGCCCTGAAGGCCTGAGACTTTCTGGGATTGCCCTATTCTTTCTTCAGGCATCCTCAACCCCAGGAAAAAGCAAATGAAACTGAATTACATAAAAAAGTTTAAATAGCAAGGAATACTTCATCCTGTGGCAGAGTCCCACCTGGAAGGAACCAGAGCAATGTCCCCATCCAACCCTCACACTTAGGAAAGGAGCAAACTGAAGCAGGACAGTGGAGAGCAAGTGATGGGCCAGGCCCCCGACCCCATGCCCTCTCCCTCCATACTGCTCAGGAGCATGCACCCTTTGACCCTCAAGCCTGAAGTCTCCCTCTTCCTCAGCACTGACCCTTCCTGCTCTCCCCTGCCTCAATCCACCACAGGATAACCCAGGACCAAGAAGAAAGGGGCTCACCCATCCTGGAGGCCAGAGGAGTAGTAGGAGAGGCTGGAGCTGGGCGAGTGGACAGGCTGCAGCTTGGGGAAGCGTGGGGGCACTGGGGGGCTGCCAGAGAGCCGGCCACTGCCATTGCCACCCCGGGGAGGCACAGGTGGGGCGTTGAGAAGGCGGCACTCCTCCTTCACCTGCAAACAGAGGGACGTGACTCCACCCTCCGCCCAGGCAGCTGACACTCCTTACTTTCCTTTCCACAACTGAGACTAACACTTTGCCAAGAGGCCGCCTTGCTTTACATCCCACCTCCTCAACCAGCCCTACTCCTTCTCGTCTCTCTGGCCTGTTTAACTCCTCAAGAGGCCACAACACACAGTCTCCTACTGCCTTGCAAATCTATCACGAATTGTAAAAAAAAGAATATAGAAAAATGGATTAAAAAACAATCAGAAAAATAGACATTCCCTCCTCAAAAACAAGGGAAAGTACACGGGGGGTGGGGGTGGGAATGAAAGGATCTGCCCTCTGGATCCCTTCCTTATAGGTCAAATACTCCAAGTGGACCATGGGATGTTAGTAGGAGTTGTCCGGATTCTGTGGACAAGGCCGGTCGGGAAATTCTGCACTAAATACAGAGAACCAGATTTCCTTGGTGAGATCTTCTCAGAGCCTTTAATATACCAGTGCTCTGTAACCCCAAAGTGAAGAGGAGTGGAAGGCCGGGAGTCCTACACACATTTTCTAAACTTATTTCACCATGCAACTTCTTTTCACTGGGCAACTTATGACTGTTCTGCGGAACCTGCTAGGTACCACTGTTCTGGACTCATGGCAAGTTTTCTGTGGCTAGAGACCTACTGGCATCTTTGACCCACAACTCCCAATGCCACTGTCCCTGGCATCCCCTACTACAAGTGCTCTCGCGACCCTTTCCCCTTTTTCTTCTCCCCTTGCCCTACGCATTGGCCCCTCTGTCACACTGCAGGGACTGAACGCCCAGGGGAATTTGCTTTTCAGGCCCAAACGGGACCCCCGGGCAGGCCCCTCCTGGAGGATAGGGCTCGGCGCCCTGCCTCCCACCCTTCGTGCCTCGTCCACTCACAGCTTCGGATTTGGGAGGGACCGGAGGCGGTGGCGCCTCGGGCTCCAGGCGTGGCGGCCCAGCGCCCCCGAAGTTGATGAGGTCGGGCCCCGGGGGCGGCCCGGGACGGCCCTCAGGTAGGCCCTCGGCCGCCTGGTGCGCCCACAGCTCCTCGTAGGGGATCTCCGCGGGTGAGGTCGCGGGCTCCGGCGCGCCGGCCCAGTCGGGGCTCACGTACTCCTGGTCCCCGTCGCCCGGTGGGCTGGGGGCACGGACGAGCCCGGGGGCTCGCGGGGGCGCGGGCAGGCAAAGGCGCGCGCGGCGCGGGCTGGCACAGTCGTCGGCCAGCTCGGCGGGCGCCTCGCGCACGGCGGTGGAGTACTCGTCCGGATCGAAGCGCTCGCGGCAGTAGGAGGCGCTGTCGCGCACCAGGCGCTCCACGCGCGGGTCCCCGGCCAGCAGGCCCTGCGGCAGAGCGAAGCGCGGCGTGTCGGTGAGCAGCAGGAAGTGCAGCGGCGCCGGGCCCTCGCGGCGCAGCGCCAGCCCCAGCACCACGGTCTTGGAGATGATGCTGACCAGCTTGTAGCAGTGGCCCTCCCGCACTGGGTGCAGGTCGTAGGGGTTGCGCGGCGGCCGGCTGGGCACCAGCACGTTCACCGGGAGCCGCACCCGTTCGATGATGGCGCGCACCGTGTGCTCGCCCTCCTGCATCTGCAGCTCCAGCGGGCTGCGCGTGCTGAAGCGGCCCTGGCACTGGAAGGGCAGGCTCAGGCTCTCGTTGGTGCGGTGGTTCATGCAGATGAGGCAGGGCATCTTGCCTTTGATGGGCCTGGCGCCCCCGCCCGTGGCCCCAGTGCCTCCCGGTCCGCCCACCCCGGCCAGTGCCCCGGCCCGGCCCAGCTTGCGCAGCAGGGTGGTGAAGCGCGAGCGCTCCTTGGTGGTCTTGGCGCACAGGATCTCGGCCTGGCCCATGAGAGTGAGCTCATCGCCCGCGTGCAGCGTGAAGTTGTACACCTCGCTGTCCTCGCTGAACTCTCCTGACACCACCTGGGGAATCCCAGAAAAGGCGAGGCCTTAGCCAGGGCCCATGAGGGCAGCCTAAGGTGCCCCCCCCCCCCCCCCCCCCCCCGGCTGAGACCAGACCAAGAGCACTTGACCGGAGGACAGGGGGTATCAGGGACCCAGGTACCATCCTAGAGAGGCCATCTGGTGGCTGTGCAACCTTAAATGAGTTACCTCTGGAGGCCTTAGTTACCTAATCTAATAACTTACTTGGAAAAGTTGCTCTAAGGATTAAATAGACTATATATAGTGACATACCTTGAAAATACTCGATTAAGTAACACCTTTCATCGTTATCTTTATAATTTGGGTGATAATAATGCTCCACACATTCCACAAAGCTATTGAGAAATGGGTTGATGGATAAGAAAAGGGTTTGTAAAGAGCTATCTGTACACAAGTGGAAGGCTGTTTGCACTCTGCCCCCCCCCCCCCCCAATCATCACCTCTGAAAGGTCCCAAGTCAGGGCAAGACCCTCCACACACTTGCTCTTGCTTCACCAACTTTTGCAGAAAGTTCTTTGGCCCAGAGGGTCATACATTCAGCTCATTTGTCATGGTCTGTTTGTGCCAAAGGCTCTCAAGGGGCAGTCAGAAGTCACACTGTGACACCTTCTACCTCCTGGACCCTAAGGCAACCCTCCAACTAGAGTCAGAGTTGCTCTAAACAGAAGGGTCAGCATGAGGGCACCATGCCTGGTGCCAGAGGACTGACCTTGACACTGAAGGTGATGGCTTCCATCACAAAAATGCGGTCAGGGAAGACACTGGCCACCTCCTCCACGCTGCTGAAGTACCTCACTGGCTCCCGCACATCCCGGGCCTGCTCCAGGAGCTTGAACTTCCCTGCACAGGAGGAAATGCAGGCTGCTAGGGTGGGCCTGCTTGCTGGGAGCCTGGCCTACATCCCAACAGACCTCGTGGCCTCTAGGTGTTGCTCCCCTCATCCCAGCAGCCCCTCTGGAACTCAGGTGGGCAGAAGGGCAGGTTTGCACCAGCATGGGGTGAAAGGAGCTGGTCAGTGGGCTCAAGCCTCGCGGGGAGGTGCACACAGATCCCTAGCAACTACAGACCAGCCCGCACCCCATGGAGAGTTATGGGTGTGTGATGAGGCTGGCAGCTGCCTTCCCAGAGAAACCCAAGTGCAACCTAGAACCCAAATGCTTGGACACAGAGCTGGCCTCTGATCAAACATCACTGTGACAGTGGGGATGCTGGCGGCTAGCTTGGTCCCAGCCTCACTCTGGCTTGCTATGACCCTAGACGAGTCCCTTCCTCTCACTGGACCTCCATGGCTTCATCTAAGGAAGTTGGGGCAGATGATATTGGGCTCTACCTGGACCTAGCACACTGTGCATCTACCCTGGGTTGCTGATCCACACTGATGCACTGGGCAGACCAGGGGCCCAGCCCCAGGTTTTGGAGGCCCAGGGAGAGCCACTCTGACCCCAGCTCTGTTCCTAGACCCTGCCTTCGTCCAACACTCAGCTTGACTGCCCCAGAGGCCTCTGATGTGAGCCCAGCAAAGACACCTCCCACAGATGAGGACTTCCCAACTTGCAATCCAGGGCTATGAATTTTGGCTGGCTTGGCAGATGGCCCCAGCAGACTCAGATTTTAAAGAAATGGTGATAATCCATACAGCTGACACCCCTGTGTAATTGTCTCACCTCACTGGCCCCAAACATTCTATGTGCCCACCACATGAGCACAGGGATAGGCTATGAACTGCTGACATCTGGACAGGTTGCTTCTTCTCAGGCCTGACAGAGAAGGAAGAGAGTCTTATATAGATCAGGGGACAACAGGCTGAGAGAAGATAAGGTGACTTTAGCTTCTATAGTCTTTCTGGTGGTTGCTTCAGTCATAGTCCATTCACTTACTCATTCCATAAATGTTTATGGAGCAACCACTGTGTGCCAGACACTGGGCTAGGCCCAACAGAGGCTGCAAACCTGGGTAAAATAGTCTGCTTTCCAAGATTTCCAGATATAGTGGGTGTGACAACGAGCACCCAGTGATGGCAGGATGTGACAAGTGCTACAACAGACTTGTGACAGAAGAGCTAGCGGACCACTGAGTTGGGAAAGTTGCCTGGCAGTTTGAAGTGATCTAAAGAATGAAAAGAGTTTAACAGAATGAACATTCCATGTGGAAGAAAGAGAATGAGCGAAAAGGGGTCACGAAAGCAGCTGCCTGCCCCAAATGGTGAGTGACTGGAAGGTGGGACTTGAGAGTGATGACAGGAGGTGAACTAGACAGCATCTGGGTGACGAAAGGCTCTGAATGTGAAGAGGCTTGTGGAAGGAGACTCATTAGACTGGGGCCACTTATGAGAGGCCAAAGAGAAGAAAGGGACTCAGGCCACCAGCCTGATCAGAAATGGAACCAGCAGAGCTATTAAGCAAAACTGGAAACCCGGGGGTTGGAGGGGGGTGGAGGAGGGTAAAGGGGGGATAAATGGTGATGGATGGAGACTTGACTTGGGGTGGTGAATACACAATACGGTGTTCAGATGATGTGTTGTAGAATTGTGCACCTGAAACTTGTATAATTTTGTTAACCAGTATCACCCCAATAAACTCAACAAAAAAAGGAAAAAACCCTGGAAACCCAAAAGAAACAGATTGTGTGGCAGGGGCTTGGGGAGCCCAGTCAGAAGTACGGACTGAAGGTCACCAGCCCACAGGAGGCAGCTTCAGCTGTGGGGCAGGAATGGTGGCTCAGAGAAGAGAGGGTCTGAACCCTTTGGAGACCCTCTTCCCAAAAAAATGCCCATAGTGTACTCCTAGCATGAACACATACCATTTGGTATATAGTGGCAGGGGTTCCTACAGCCCTCAAACCTAGCCAGAAACCGAGATTGAGACACCCCCTAGTGCAGAGTATGGAGAGCCTGCAGCATCAACATCTAGGAGCAGGAAGAGAAGTGAAAGCCAAGAAAAAGAAGGGAAAATACCCGGGAGAAAGCTGGGAAGAGAGTCCCTAGGTTCTGGCCTAACCACTCTGACACCCTGGTAGGAAGAGGCCTGAAATGTGCCACAGCCCTAGAGAGCAGAGGGATCAACTGGGAAGGGAACTGGAGGGAGCAGTGATTTGGGGTCAGGAAGCAGGAAGCAGGGTCTGCTACCATCCAACAGTTAGTGGCCCCTCTTCATCACCCCATCTCCTCCCCCATATCCACACACAAACCCCCCAACCACAAGCAGCCAGGCATGGAGAAATGCCCACTGTCCCCCTGTGGGGAGAGCTGGAGCCAAGTTAGGGCTGGAGCCAGGGGAGGATGTGGCAGGGAAGATCAATGTAACCATGGTAGCCAGCACCACCCCCTCAGCTGCAGCCTGGAGCCCACCACCGGTCATTACTGCAGGGAGGAAGGAAGGGAGACCTCCCAGGAGTGATGCTCTAGCCCCTGGAAGCCTTTTCCTCCCCCTCCAGCCCCTCGAGGGCAGCTTCCTCTCCCGCCTCCCCCTACGTGAGCTCCTAAGATCCGAGGTCCCCGCCACTCCAGGGACCTGCCCAACCTCAGTCGGTCCCGCCTCCCTGCCCTTCTTTCCCCGGAATACAACTGCGCCGGCCTGACGGTCCCTTCCAGACTGAAGCAGTCTTGCCTATCACCCCGCCTCCCAGCGCCTGACCCATGGCAGACGATCTGTAAAGAACGGTAGATAAACGGGCAAAGTATGGAGTCAGGACAGACCAGGTTGAATCCCAGTTCTGCCACCAATCAGCTGTGTGACCTTGGGCAAATTATTTAATCTTTCTGGGCTTCAGCTTTCCCATCCGTAAAATGAAAGCATGCTACTTAGCCCCCAGGGCTGTCTGCCGGTGCTCCGCAGGGCTCTCGGCCAACGCTGGGGAAGCATCTGGCCCCGGGCAGGGCCGGTGGGGGGCTGTCTCGGAGGATCCAGGTATCCCATTCCCTGAGCAGTGGGCCGCAGCCTGAAAACCCTGGTCACGGGGCAGCGCCCCCCACCCGCAGTCCTCCTCCCCTCCCCCACCTTCGTCGCGGCTCTCTCTACGGTCCGACGCTGGCCCCGCCACCCGGCCCGCCCGCCCGCACTATTATTAATTCATTAAGAGGAACCAGCGCCGAGTTGTGCACTCAGCTTCCTTGTTAACCCATCAGCCCGGCCCCTCCCCCTCCTAGGGGGCCTCGACTTCCCCTCCCCCATCCCGGCAGGCCGGAGCCGCCCACCGGAAAGGTGGAGTTGGGGCTGCGACATCCCTGCAGCCAGCTGTCACCCCATGACCACCACCGTACACACGCACGCAGGGAGCACCAAAAGACATGGGGGAAAGGGCTGGGAGCCCCCTGGGCCCTTAGTTCCCTAGAAGGCTCCGCCTCTTGGTTTCCCAGATTTTTAATGACACAAACTGAAATGGCCAATCCCTTAAATCACATTTTAGTCAAGGAGGATTTTTCTAATCTTTGCTTTTTTTGGAGAGAGAGATAGAAACATCAATGAGAGAGAACGATTGGCCACCTCCTGCATGCCCCTCACTGGTGATTTGGCCCACAACCTGGGCATATGCCCTGACCAGGAATCGAACTGGTGACCTCTTGGTGCATGGGTCCAAGCTCAACAACTGAGCCACACCGGCCGGGCTAATCTGCTTTTTCATCCCAAGAAGAAGACCTGGGACCTCTCCCAGGCTGAGAAGCTTCTAGCTCCAGCAGACCCCATTAAGGGCTCTCCAGGCCCAGGACAGGGCCTAGGACCAGGTCAAAAAGACACTTGAGAGTTTCCTAATGTTTTAAATGGGGTGTGGGGCTATGGGGGTACCAACTTCACAGAGTTATTGTAAAGGGCAGAAGTAGGTAAAGGGCTGAGTCCTGTCCCTCTGGCTTATGGGAGACCCAAGCACGGCCAGAGGGGTACACTGGTGCCAGGGAGGAATGGACTGTGTGTGAGCCTTCCCAGCTCAGAGGGTTCCCAACCTGTGTTGCGGGTAGAGAAAAAGAGGTAGCAGTTAAAACATAGAATTGGACAAGCTACTGAAGCTCCTGGGGCTGTTCCCTTGTGAGTTAAAAGGCATTCATAAGACTTTCTTACCGGTTAATGTGAGAATGAAATTATGAAAATGCCCAGCCCGGTGTCTGGAATGCTGTGGGACCCTGGGTTCCTGTGAGGACATCTCTGGGTTGAGACCACCAGACCCCTATCCCTCCCACACTGGGGACAACAACCCCTCATTGCTGGTATGGTGCAGCAAGCTTCTGTTCTGCCCCTTTCTGGCTGTGTGACCAGGTAAGTCACTTCCCTTCTTAGGTATAGGCCCTCTGTTTCATCGTGTGTAAAATGAAAGGGCTGTACTTTCCTTTTTTTTAGCAGCATAAACCTTTCTTCAAACAAAATATTTAATAAATGTCAACATCATATATAACACAAACTAAAGTGGAAGTTCATTAGCACAATCTTATTTAAAAGTCTAAAATTTTAACATTCACTAATAAAATCAATTAATGAAAACAATGAGTTTAACACTAAAATTGGGGAAATCAAGATTAAAAGCTGCAGGTGCAGCCAGATTATCAGCCTGAGCATCTCTTTGTTTCTGAAGATTTTTTAAAAATATGTTTTTATTGACTTTAGAGAGAGAGGAAAGGAGAGGGAGTGAGGAAGAGAGAGAGAGAGAGAGAGAAACATTGATTCAACAAACATCAATCTGCTGCCTCCCACATGCACCCCACCCAAAACCTGGGCATGTGCCCTGACCTGGAGTTGAACCGGCAACCTCTCGGTGCATGGGACGATGCTCAACCAACTAAGCCACACTGGCCAGAGCTGTTTTTGAAGTTTTTTGATTGCACAATACTGAGAAGATGCTGGCAGGAAGTGTTCTCTTTGAGGGTCTATACAAAAAAGGGTTAATGAGGCAGCTCAAGGTACACACCAAAGGTCTCTAGTTAGGATTAAGGTTGGATTTGTAGCAGTTTAAGAGTGTGGGTTTTGTTTTGATTTTACCCTCACCAGAGGATATTTTTTTCCATTTATCTTCAGATAGAGTGGGGGTGGGGTGGGGGGAGGAACACATGGACTGTTTGCCTCCCACACAATCCCAACCAGGGCCAGGGGCAACTGAGATACTTGCTCTTGACCAGAATCGAACCCGAGACTATCTGGTCCATGGGCCAACACTCCAACCACTGAGCCAAACTGGCCAGGATGAATGTGGGTTTTTCAAAAATCAGTTTAAAATCTATTTTGTTGTTGTTGTTTGTTAATCCTCGCCCAAGGATAGAGTGGAAGGGAGGAAGGGAGAGAGAAAGAGAGAGAGAGAGAGAGAGAAACATTGACGTGAGAGAGACACACTGATAGGCTGCCTCCTGCATGACCCCAACCAGGGCCAGAGGTCGAACCCGAACCCTGGTATGTGCCCATGACCAGGAATCGAACCTGCTACCCTTCAGTCCAAAAGCTGAGCCAACCCAGGCAGGGCTTAAAATCTATTTTAAAATAAAATGTGAATCAAAGGTTTGCAATCAGAAGTCCAGGGCTCCACACAAAAGTATGAAAACCACTGAGCCCTAACTCTAACCCTAACCCTAATCACCACCCTGCCAGCCCTGTCCTCATTCATCCCTTTGGATCCAAGGAAAGGCTAGTCACCAAAAGCTTTCCCAAGCCCTCCCTATCCCTACCCTCCAGCCTACCACCCCCACCAACTTTACAACAACTGTCCCTGGCTGGCACACCTGGGTACTGAAGGGGGATGTCAATCTTGGGCCCGATGACATAGTGGCCTTCCTCCAGGGTGTGGGCTGTCACTGTTGTCCACTGGCGGCAGGAGTGAATGAGCAGGATGTCTCGCTCACTGACGCCCTCAGCATACTCCCCTGGGGAGGGAAAGAAGGATAGAAGAGGAAGGAGACAAAAAGAGAACATTAGGAGGGGCAGAAAGAATAGGCAGGATGACCCCCTCGTCTTCTCACCAAGACTCGTCCTGGGGACAGCTCCCCATGATCCCTGTCCAGGTCAGCAATGCTCTAGATCACCAGCTCTGGCCTCAGGGCTGAGTCAAGCCCCTCTCTCAGGGCTCAGGCTCCTGATGGGGCCCCAGCCACCCGCCCAGACGTTGTCCTTCATTCATTATTTGATTGGACTGCCTGCTGTCCCAGGCCCTGTGCTGGGGCCAGGGACAGATAAGCGCAGTCCCTGTCCTCCAGGATCCTTTAGGCTCAGGGGGAAGTGGAAAGAGATGTGAACAGAGATTACAGGCCAAGTGTGAGGCTGTCTGGACTTACAGAGGGAAGGAGCAAACCAGCTGAGGGTGGGGTGAGGAAGGGAGACTTTACTGAGCAGCAGACACTTAATCTGGGCCTCAGGACCACCTGAATTCACAGGAGCAGAATTCTCAGCCCCCAAGTCAGTGCCTAGGCCAGGCAAGGAGGGTCTGGTTGGAGGAATGGAGAGAGCCCAGATGGGGCTGTCCGTCGTAGGTCCCAGCTGTGAGGGCTCCCCAGGGCCATGAGTCACGCAGGCCAGGAGAATGGCAGGGCTTTGAGGAGCAGATTCCTTGTTCTCTATGGGCAGTCCCTTTTCACCCACTGCCACCGACAGCCTCCTTCCAGGGGACCTCAAAGAAGAGGGGAGAAAATCTCAGATATCCACTAACCCATCTCAGAAAAGCTGTTTCTTGACTCTCCCTCTGCCATCCCTTCAAGCTCCCAGTCTTTGGAACACAGTGGTGACCGCTGGAGAAGGGGATGGACTTAGAAGCAGGGAGGGGGCTAGTCCTGGGGAAACTGCACTGGGTAGAGGTGCTGAGAGGGGCCTGGGCCCCGGAGGCTCTAACCCCAGCAACGGTATCCAGGGGAGCAGGAGGGGCTAGCCCAGCTTCCAGGAGGCTGGTGGAGCTGTCTCCTGGCTGCAGCTGGTGGGCGGGGTGGGGGTGGGGGTGGGAGATGCCTCCTTCCCAGCCCCCTCAGACACAACTTACTAAATGTCTACCATCCAACCAAATGGGAAATGGTTTACTCTGATGGCTGGGTACTCCTTGAAATGTATGGACTTGTTTGAGGGGAGACAGTGTAAAATGTGTTTAGGACTGTGGGGAGACCTGGCTCTCCCACTGTGTGTGTGTGTGTGTGTGTGTGTGTGTGTAGGGGGGAGTGTCTGAGCCCTCCTCCTGGAGCAGAGGAAGCTCTGCTACTTTGCAATCTCCTCTTAAAGCTCTCTTAATCCCCAACCCACCCTTCTGAACACCCACAGCCATGGGTCGTGGTCGCCAACAGATGAGCCAGCACAGCCACCTGGCCTACAGTGACAGGGGCTTTTCACCGAATGACACAACTCAATCCCATGGTCCCACTAAGGGGCCCCTTCCAAATGCATAAGGCACAAAGGGACCTTCAAGACACACTTTTGATCACATATTTACACTCACAGTGACCACAGCCATCACCATCACTGTCATAGACAGCTGGGCCATCACACCAGCTGCTCATTCACTCATTCATTCATTCAGTTGGTCACTCCACAATCTTTGTTAGGCAGGATGCTCCTTTCAAGGACCCTGCAGCCTAGTGTGAAGACAATACACTAACCATTGTATCAGGTGTGCACAGTAGGAGACAAGTCAGGGGTGCCAGAAGCATCAAGGGAGCCCAGAGGAGGCCTGACCATACTGGGGAGCTCAGAAAGGACCTCCCAGGAGAGGGAGATGCCAAAGAGGACGTGTGGAAGTGGCCAGGCATATCCATTCACATGCGGACATACGCAGCCTTGCTACCGACAAGGACTGGCTCGGGATCACATGCTGATGATCCGGAGAACAAGACATTGGGCTGCGGGGCACTCCTGTCCGATGACTCGCTGCCACGGAGCCGGCTCCCGGGACACGCAGCCGCTCACTGTGCCCACTCCTCGCCCTGCGGGTCGGAGGAGGAGCTGCCGGCCCCCGCGGGGAGAAGAGCCTGTGGCAGCGGGCCCCATTAGCATTCAGGGAAGCGAGTGTGCCAACGCGGGCCAAACCCCTATTCTTCTCACACACAAAACCCCCGGCCTGGCTGCCAGCCCCGGCTCCTGCCCCTCCCCCAGCCAAGCAGCCCTCCTTCCCCCAAACAGTCCCCTCGCTCCGTGCAGCCTCCGGGCGTCCCTTCTCGGGCCCCCATGCAAGGTCCGGTCCCATCAGCAGAGCAGCCCCAGCCCCGGGCCCCAAAGAGAAGTGGGGCAAGATGCGGTGGGAGGGCCGGGGGCTCTGGGACACGCCCGGAGGGAGAACTCGCTCATTTGGGCCTCTCTCGAAGTGGCCTGCTTGCCCCATGGCCGGAGATGCTCCCGGGAAGCGAAAGGAGGATAAGAGAAGGGTCCCAAAAGGGGCCTAAAGGGGCTGGGGGGCGGCGGCGGTGGGAAAGCAGAATACGAGGCCCCAGGGATGCGGGAGGACGGAGGTGAGAGGTGGGAGACAAAGGGACGGAGGGGTACGGCCAGGCAGGGGTCTGAGGGTGACCGGGAAGGGGATGCACCGACGGAGCGGCCGCGGTGGCTCGGCCGTGCCCTGGATTCCAACTGGGCCGGAAAACTCCGTCCCGGGCTCGGCCCCACTCCCTGTCCTGGTTTCCGTCCCTGAGCCCGCCTGCGACGCCCAGGACGAGGCGGACCCTCGGCTAGTGGGCCCCTGGTCTCGCGCGGAGGTGCACCAGGAGCTGCGCGGGGACCGCGCGGGGAGGGAGAGGGCAGGGGCCGCTCCCACGGCCCCGCTGGCGCCTGCCCGGAGAGTCCCGGTTCCCCGGCGGTCCCCCTGCGGTCCCCCGGTCGCCCGTCCCAGCACCCCGGTACCTGGCCCGAGGCAGGCGAGCGTTGGCAGGCGGCAGCGGCTGACGATGAGGTCGAGGGGGAAGGCGCCCATGCTCCAGCGCAGGCCGGCCAGTCCAGCCGCCAGCTTCTCCATGGCATGGGCGCCCCCGGGGCCGCCGTCCCGGGGCCCCGACGGCCAGTCCCGCTTGGCCCGGGCACCCGCGCCGGCCGCCACCTCCTGGGGCCGCGGCAGCGCTCCCCGCCTAGCGGCCCGGCCGGGCTGCGAGCGTCACGTGGCCGGACTCCCCGCGGGGCGCCGGCCTCCGCCCCCCGCCCCTCGCCCCACCCCCCAGCCCGCTCCGGCAGCCGCCGCAAAGTCCCGCCTCCCCACCGGGGCCCCTCGGCCCGCCCCCTCCACGAGCGTCCAGGTGACAGTCGGGGACCGAGAATCCGAGGCGGGGGCCTGGGGAGAAAACAGACGCGAAGCGGCATCTGCGAGGTCGGGGCATGGGGATCGGCCTCCCCTATCCCGCGGAGTGTGTCTGGACCCCCAGTCCCCGCCGGGAACGGCGCCTCCCTCCAGCCCCTGGAGCCGTGGCCTCGGGGCGTCGCCGCCCACTCGCGCCCGAACTTGCTCCGCTTCCCAAGGCTCCGGCCCTGGATTCCGCCGCGGCGATCCCAGCGGCGGTCGCTGCCTCTGGAACGCTGATCTCCAGCTTCACACCGCCCGGGGAGGCCACCTCGTTAACCCCATTTACTGACGAGCAAACTGAGGCTCCAGAGACAAGTGGCAGCCTTGGACTTGGACCCTAGGTTCGACTACAAATCCTACCGCCGTCCCCGGGGTCGCCCGCCGCCACCTCAGCCCCACCGCAGAGCGCCGTCCCCGTCCCAGCGGTTCCCAGCGTCCCCTCACCGACCCCGCGTCCCGGGGCCAGCGAGCTCCAGAGTACACACGGCAGCGGGTGCCACTGCTCCCGTCCGGCAAACGAGGAAACTGAGGTGCGGGTGTAACCCGGTGCAGTCCTCTCTCGGGCAGTCCCTTCTCATAATTTGCTCTTTCATTTCTGTTCTCCTCCCTCCCGCTTTCAACCCCTCCTGTCTTGGGCTCCGGAGCTCCTCTCGGGAAGCCCATCCCAGAAGCTGCGGTGGCCGGGGCCTCACCACGTGGCCGGAGGACTCCCTTCCTCCTTGATGTTTCTGCAGGCGATCAGGGGCTGGTGCACGCCTGTCGTGGGACCAGCCAACAGCGATGACTGTGTGGCCATCAAGCTGAAAGGGCCCCATGGACTAATCCTCAGCCTCAATGCCCTAGGGAGATACCCCACACACACACACCACACACACACAAACACAAAATTATCTCTCCCCAGTAACTGACATCCCCCTTATATGACCTGAACCCCAAGAGAAATGGCACCAAAGATGAACACAACTTCTCAGCAGGAGGCCACGGTCCAGATCATTGTCCAGTCTCCATCTTTTGCAGAGGAAAGAGCAGAAATGCTGTACTCCAAGGTCACACCGCAAGAAGCTGAGCTGAGACTGTACGGCAGGCCTCCCAGTCAGTGCTAATTCCAAACCCTGGACTGGCCCAGAACACCCACTCGGGGAGGGCTGAGCAGCGGCCCACAGGCTTTCTCCTCCTTTGGCCCCACAGAGGTGTGACATGGGGGTAACCTGATGGACAACAGACGAAGATCACTTAGGTCTTTGGGGGGTGGGCATGGGTTCCTCCCTAGGGACATGTGCAGAAGAGAAGGAAATAGAGAAATGTGAAAATATGGGAGCCTAGAAGGGAATAGAGGGTCTGCGGTGGGAAGGTGAGGAGGTGGAAAGAAGTGAATGAGAAGGGGCCTGCCGTAAAGCCACTTTTTTTCCCCTACCCTGAAGGCCTCTCCCTTGAGTAAGGTGAAAAAACTGGGACTTCTGAGAGCGAAGGAGGTGCTAACTGGGACCACAGGCATAAACCAGACTCTGAGATAGTGGGTGTAAACCAGCACTGGGCCATCTGGTCACCTATCTCTGAGAAACACCTCTGAGCCCTGGCTGTAGATGCCAAGTGGTCCCTTATGCTCAGATTACTGGGTCACCTAAGCTCCAGACCTGTGTCCTGCTGTGTCCCTCCACCCCCACTGAGGCCTTCCATTTCAACAGTCACAGTTGAACTTGGTCCTCTTTTCTTTTCTATCCCAACTAAGGATATCACCTTTCACCTGGTCCCCCAATCTGGAAATCTCCTTAACCCTTACATCTAACTGGTCACCAATTCCTGGCAATTCTGCTTCCACCGTGTGTCATGTAGCCCCCCCTTTTTTTCTCCAAGCCTGCTGTCCCTGCCTAACTTCAGTTCCTCCTCTGATCATCTCTCTCCCAGGCCACTCATCATATTTCATACCAAAACCCCTATAACTCTGGGTTTCAGCTGAGTCAGAGACCTCACAGGTGTGAGACATTAGGCGAGCCAACTTATGGGTTGGGTGTTAAAGCTCTGAAGAGGCACCCTGGCCCGTTTGGCTCAGCGGTTAGAGCATCAGCCTGAGGGTCTCCAGCTTGATTCCAGTAGAGGGCACATACTTGGGTTGCAGGTTTGATTCTCAGCCCTGCTCTATCTAAAATCAGCGGGGGAAAAAACAATATCCTCAGATAAGGATTAACAACAAAAAAGTTCTGAAGAGGCTCAGGAACATGAATGATAAAGCACTTAGAATAGTGTCAGGTATATAGTAAATAGTAGTCATAAATATTATTTGTATCTCCTTATTTCAGGATTGGGCAGCTGAGGGCCACTGTACTGTCTGTCATGAGGCATTTCTAAGGCAAATATACCATGGACTATTACACCTTCGTTAGAAATGATGCTTGCAAAAAATTTGTAATGATTTGAGAAAATTCTCATGGCATAGTATTATGTAAAAACGTCAGTATAACATCTCATGAATGAATGAACTGTAAGAATAGGAATAATCAAAGGAAACATGCTCTCAGCAGCGGTTCTCAACCTGTGGGTCATGACCCCTTTGGGGGTTGAATGACCCTTTCACAGGGGTCGCCTAAGACATAACAGTAGCAAAATTACAGTTATGAAGTAGCAACAAAAATAATTTTATGGTTGGGGGTCACCACAACATGAGGAACTGTATTAAAGGGCCACGGCATTAGGAAGGTTGAGAACCATGGTGTTTGTGTCTGGGTCATGGCATAGATGATACTACTTCTCAGCTTTTTAAATATTTTCCAAAGTTTGATATAATGAAGAGTCATTTATTTGATAATTAGACGCCAGTTCAAACTTTACAAATGAGGGGATGGGACTTAGTATCAGAGACCCTGCCTGCCTCCAATATTCTGATACTGAGTTCTCCAAGCAGGCATTTCGTTGCCCACCAGAGGGAGCAGCAAGGCCTCAGAGCAAACCCTCTGGGGTGAAGGCCAGCCCCTCCCTGGAAGAGAAGAGGCTAAGATGAGGGTTTGTGGGAATAGCAGGTCCTCCACAACAGGGCACAGTCAGCTCACCTCCTTCAGAGTACCCAGGGAGATTACCACATAGTCTATGTGTATACTCATGGTCTGGGTGAATATGCCTGGTCTCGTACATTGTCTGCATAAGAAATGTCCAGCCCCAGCCCTGGCTGGTTTGGCTTAGCGGTTAGAGCATCGGCCTGTGGTCCAGAGAGACCTGGTTCGGTTCCCGCTAAGGGTACGTACCTTGGTTGCAGTTTGTCCCTGGCCCTGGTTGGGTCATGCAGGTGGCAGCCACTTGATGTGTCCCTTTCACAACGATGTCTCTCTCTCTCTCTCTCTCTCTCCCTCCCTCTTTCTCCCTCCCACTCTATCTGAACAAAAAATGGAAAAATGTCCTCGGGTGAGGATAAAACAAAAGAAAAGAAAAAAAAGAAATGTCCAGCCCTGGCCGGTTTTCTCAGTGGTTAGAGCATCGGACTGCAGACCAGAGAGTCCCAGGTTCGGTTCCCAATAAGGGCATGTACCGTGGCTGCAGTTTGTCCCTGGCCCCAGTTGGGGTTGTGTGGGTGGCAACCACTCGATGTGTCTCTCTCACACATTGAAGTTTCTCTCTCTCTCTCTCTCCCTCCCTTTCTCCCTCCCGCTCTATCTGAAGATAAATGCAAAAATGTCCTCGGGGTGAGGATAAAAAAAAAAAAAGAAAAGAAATGTTAAAATCTGTAGAGAACTATACTAAGAGTTTATTTGAGCTAAACTGATGATAATTTTTTAGAAGTAAATCTTAAATAATCTACAGAATTACAGTTTCACAGTTTTTTGGGCGTTTGAAATGAAGGAGGGAATGCAAGGAAAACAGGAGAAAGCATGGCGGGGATTGGATTAGAGGATACGTTAATATGTGCTCTCTTGAGGATGGTTAGGCTTCTAAGAGATATTACTTCTGGCATTTTAAGGGTGTGTTAACCTAGATGGGCAAAAACAATGGACAGGGCTTGCTTTCACTAAAGAAGTTATAGGCTTGAAAGTGACTACTGACCACAACCTGCCCCGTTAGGAAACTATGATTTATCACAGCACCCTCTTTTCATCCACAGAATGTGTACATCATTCAGAATGGGCTAGGTTATAGTGGACTTGCATATAACATCAAAGTCTCAGTGGCTTAAATCAGCAGTTTTATTTTTCATTTACTCTACATGCTCACTGCAAGTCACCTGGGAATCTGACCTAAGACATCTTCAGTCCTGGACCCAGGCTGATAGAGGAGCTGTGATCTAGAACATTATTAATCAGGGAGCAGCGGGAATATGGCCATGGGATTCCTAGCCAGCAGGGAAGTTCAATCCTACCATGTGCCTGGAAAGAGACTGAAAATGTTGGCAAACAGCATTAATGACTTCTACAATGTACTTTGCCTTTGACCCACACTCCATGGCCACAATCAAGACTTTATCCTGAGTACACAATCATGAATTTGTTCAAATATTTAATTATGTGATGTTGTTGGCAAAGTTGCTTGGTAACTAAAATTCAGAAACTAAGTGTTGATCAACATGAAAATGGTTTTAGTACATTTATTAAATGGAATACTGTTCAGTGGCTCACTTGGTTGAACGTTGCCCATGCACCGAAGAGCTGGGATTCCATCCCGGTCAGGATGCAACCGATCAATGTTTCTCTTTCTCTCCC